CGCTTTTCCACTGCGTGGTACGACTCGATCTGGTTCGGCTCGCTTCGCTTTTCCACTGCGTGGTACGACTCGATCCGGTTCGGCTCGCTTCGCTTTTCCACTGCGTGGTACGACTCGATCCGGTTCGGCTCGCTTCGCTTTTCCACTGCGTGGTACGACTCGATACGGTTCGGCTCGCTTCGCTTTTCCACTGCGTGGTACGACTCGATACGGTTCGGCTCGCTTCGCTTTTCCACTGCGTGGTACGACTCGATCCGGTTCGGCTCGCTTCGCTTTTCCACTGCGTGGTACGACTCGATCCGGTTCGGCTCGCTTCGCTTTTCCACTGCGTGGTACGACTCGATACGGTTCGGCTCGCTTCGCTTTTCCACTGCGTGGTACGACTCGATCCGGTTCGGCTCGCTTCGCTTTTCCACTGCGTGGTACGACTCGATCCGGTTCGGCTCGCTTCGCTTTTACACTGCGTGGTACGACTCGATCCGGTTCGGCTCGCTTCGCTTTTCCACTGCGTGGTACGACTCGATCCGGTTCGGCTCGCTTCGCTTTTCCACTGCGTGGTACGACTCGATCCGGTTCGGCTCGCTTCGCTTTTCCACTGCGTGGTACGACTCGATCCGGTTCGGCTCGCTTCGCTTTTCCACTGCGTGGTACGACTCGATCCGGTTCGGCTCGCTTCGCTTTTCCACTGTGTGTTACGACTCGATCCGGTTCGGCTCGCTTCACTTTTCCACTGCGTGGTACGACTCAATACGGTTCGGCTCGCTTCGCTTTTCCACTGCGTGGTACGACTCGATACGGTTCGGCTCGCTTCGCTTTTCCACTGCGTGGTACGACTCGATCCGGTTCGGCTCGCTTCGCTTCGTAATCAAACAAATTACTGTTTCCCCCGTTACAACGCCGTTACCGTTACTGACAATAAAATGCGGCGTTACCATAGCCTAATTAAGCTATGGTACCACTGAAGCGGTTTTCATCCGAGTAGGCTCTCTCTCCGCCATAGGACCTGCAAAGTTTTTTCTCTGGTGTGTGTGTGTGTTTATGAGGCGCCGGACTGGACAAAAGCGAAGCGAACGCCGCGAGCGCGCTCGACAGTGCGCGAGAAAGACCGAGTGTGTCCGAGCGCGCGCTCGACTGCGCGAGAGAGACCGAGTGTGTCCGCGAGCGCGCTCGACAGTGCGAGAGAGACCGAGTGTGTCCGAGCGCGCGCTCGACTGCGCGAGAGAGATCGAGTGTGTCCGAGCGCGCGCTCGACAGACCGAGTGTGTCCGAGCGCGCGCTGGACAGTGCGAGACGAGTGTGTCCGCGAGCGCGCTCGACAGTGCGAGAGAGACCGAGTGTGTCCGAGCGCGCGCTCGACAGACCGAGTGTGTCCGAGCGCGCGCTCGACAGTGCGAGAGAGACCGAGTGTGCCCGAGCGCGCGCCCGACAGTGCGAGAGAGACCGAGTGTGTCCGAGCGCGCGCTCGACAGTGCGAGAGAGACCGAGTGTGTCCGAGCGCGCTCGACAGTGCGAGAGAGACCGAGTGTGCCCGAGCGCGCGCTCGACAGTGCGAGAGAGACCGAGTGTGTCCGAGCGCGCGCTCGACAGTGCGAGAGAGACCGAGTGTGTCCGCGAGCGCGCTCGACTGCGCGAGACGAGTGTGTCCGCGAGCGCGCTCGACAGTGCGAGAGAGACCGAGTGTGTCCGAGCGCGCGCTCGACAGACCGAGTGTGTCCGAGCGCGCGCTCGACAGTGCGAGAGAGACCGAGTGTGTCCGAGCGCGCGCTCGACAGTGCGAGAGACACCGAGTGTGTCCGAGCGCGCGCTCGACAGTGCGAGAGAGACCGAGTGTGTCCGAGCGCGCGCTCGACAGTGCGAGAGAGACCGAGTGTGTCCGCGAGCGCGCTCGACTGCGCGAGACGAGTGTGTCCGCGAGCGCGCTTGACAGTGCGAGAGACCGAGTGTGTCCGAGCGCGCGCTCGACAGTGCGAGAGAGACCGAGTGTGTCCGAGCGCGCGCTCGACTGCGCGAGAGAGACCGAGTGTGTCCGCGAGCGCGCGCTCGACTGCGCGAGAGAGACCGAGTGTGTCCGCGAGCGCGCGCTCGACTGCGCGAGAGAGACCGAGTGTGTCCGCGAGCGCGCTCGACAGTGCGAGAGAGACCGAGTGTGTCCGAGCGCGCGCTCGACTGCGCGAGAGAGACCGAGTGTGTCCGCGAGCGCGCTCGACAGTGCGAGAGAGACCGAGTGTGTCCGCGAGCGCGCTCGACAGTGCGAGAGAGACCGAGTGTGTCCGCGAGCGCGCGCTCGACTGCGCGAGAGAGACCGAGTGTGTCCGCGAGCGCGCGCTCGACTGCGCGAGAGAGACCGAGTGTGTCCGCGAGCGCGCGCTCGACTGCGCGAGAGAGACCGAGTGTGTCCGCGAGCGCGCTCGACAGTGCGAGAGAGACCGAGTGTGTCCGCGAGCGCGCTCGACAGTGCGAGAGAGACCGAGTGTGTCCACGAGCGCGCTCGACAGTGCGCGAGAAAGGCCGAGGGTGTCCGAGCATTATATAGTTTGTTTATAAATAAATTACAAATTTCAGCATTAGAATAATCTCTGTAGCCTATTGGTATCATCTGCAACGTTTTAATTAATTTACATGGTTATAGAAATAAAATCTAAAAAATAGCTGGCAGGTAATGTTCTGGGAAGGTTCTGGGAGCACTTCTTGTTAAACTGTTTATCATTTTAACTTGCACTACAAAGTATTATTATTTATTCATTTTTGGTACATTTCTTAAGAAGCATAATTTATTTTTAGACTTATTTTTTGGCCAGCTGTGGTCTGTGCAATATTAAATATTAAAAGTTCTAAACCATCTATTATGTTTTATTGTTCTATAGTAATGATAATATTTTAAACAATATATTGCATTGTCCCACAGCAACATTACAATAGTGTAGATTAGTTTACAATGTTTTATAATAATAATTTATTCTATAGTGTCCATTTCATTAATTTAACATATTTAATATTGAGGGCAAGTTATTTGACTTTTTTTTTTCAAAAGTAACGTAATAGTTACTTTCCCTGGTAATTAGTTGGTAATTAGTCTCTTATATATTGATTTAACTCAGTTACTATTTGTGAGAAGTAACTAGTAACTATAACTAATTACTTTTTTTAAGTAACATGCCCAACACTGCGAGTATCTGACTGTGTATTTCATGTCATGTCAGTTGTGATGTTAAATAAAGTCCAAGAGTATTCCAGAATTTCAGCGGGAAACTTACAGACTCATATTCTCCTCTCATGCAGTATCGGATGCAGGATTTCGACTGTACCACTTCTGCATGAGATGAGAACACTTTTTAAGATGTTCTTGGGTCAAGAAAACGCTCGCTCTGACTGGATGTGCTTAAATCCACAATAAGGACACTTTCCTGTCACACATCACACATGCTCACTTCAATAAGCCACAGAACGCAGGTTAATGTGTTTACATGCCGGGCAAATATGGAATAAGGGGCAAAAATCTAGCTGTGTCAATTGGTTTATGCTTATGCCGTTTATGATGACCTTAGTCTGCGTTTACATGACCACACGCACTGTCTGCTTCTTGTGCATAATTGGGTTAAGAATGTGCAAGTAAACATTGACTTTGGGTTGATGGAACCAGAAGTGCAGAAATGCAACTGTTTTTGTTTTCGGGCTAATGCCTGCAGAATGCCTCTATTCAGGAATCTTGACTGCACAAAAAAATAAAATATAAAGTACTGTTTAACTTGTGAAACATGGATATTAGTTGGCCTAACAACCATATGACTCGCCTCACATTAAATTCTCAGTTTTGTAGGTTAACGTTATTACTAAACTGCTTAGTCATAAATACTTGCCTTTATATTTGCTGATGAACTGCTCTTGAAGCTCAGGCTTGTCGGTTTCACAGTGATGTGATGCTCAGCGTCCTGCAGAGGTTTTATACGTCTTTTATTTCCCAGCATGGCGACTTTCTTTCTTGAAATGAGTGGAAAAATTAAATTAAATATAATGTGAATGAAATAAACAAGCATATTTAAAAAATCTTGTTGATCTTACTGGAATTGTTCACCCAAAAACATATGTAATTAACATACAATTATGTTAATTGTTGTTCCAATTGAGCCTCATGTTGTTCCAAACCTGTGTTGTGTTTTTTCTGTTCAACACTAAAGTATATATTTATATTAGCCTATATCACATCACAGAGCTCTATTCAATGACAGCATGTGTGACCAGTCACAACAGTTGTACAATTCCACGTACAACAGGAATTTAAATTAAAAAGGCAACGTGCCAAAAAACATTGGTTCTTGTGTGTCTTGTGATATAGATATAATTGACATCAATCTACTGTATATTCATATCTGAATTAAGAGCTACAGCATACAGGAGATTTTCAGTCAATAACCAGCTAGATTCATAGGGACTATTTTTAATGTGCTTTTTGTCTGCTTTGGACTTTGAAACACACAATAAAAATACTATAAGTGTCTATGTACCATCATTGGGCAAAAAAAGCTTTGTGAAGATAAATAATAATAAATAAATAAATAAAACATTCCACTGAAAAAAATATTTTTGGGCAAATAATGTAATAATGTATTACATAAAATAATAAATATATCAAATAATAATGATATAAAAAATATATAATTTAATTATTTCAAATTACAGTTGCTATTTGACAACACTTTTGAGAAAAACAATGATATAGTAGGCTATCACTGACTCGGTTGTTTTGATTAATTTGTAGAATCTAAAGTACTATTATATAAAAATAACAAAATTATATTTACTGGGCAATGCCTACAGTAGGCAATAAACTTTTTTCCTTATTGCAACAAATCATCAAATTAGAAGCAAATTCAATACAATCAAGAAGTAAATAAAACCTTACGCAAAAAATAATTAAACCACTCAAATAAACCACTTACTTACTTTCATATTTCACAATGTATTTAGTTATCATGCATTTTCAGGACAAGACTTGATCTCACCTTTCCTGCGTGGTGGGGGGTTGTCATCTGTTTCGCGTCCCATTGTCACGTGTCTGCATTTCCCGGGAAAATACATCGACTGTCGCAGACTTGCGTCAATGACGTAGTTACGTATTTGGATTTCACGTTGAAATTGTGATTATATTTATTTGACCGAATAAAAAACTCTCTGATGACAAGAATCTTTGTTTTAATCACAATAGTGTTTCTTCAAACACACACACACACACACACACAAAAAAAAAAAAAACTGGTGGAGTAAGTAGTAAGTCTTTCTAGTGGACAGAGCACATGATCACTTTTAAACGAACCCAGAGGACTCGAACTAGGAACCAGTGCGCATGTCCGTACAAGCACAAGTTTAAAAGAGCATATAATGCCTAAATGAGCAACCTAGATCTCTTGAACAGACATCTTATTTTCTACTAATAGCATTTATTAATCAAAATAGTAAATTGATGTCTGCAAATACACAGCAGGGCTGATATTCAAGCTGGTATATATGTATCCAGTTTTGCACGAGTCTGTGTTGTTGTCAATTTATTTGAGTTAAGATGGGGGAGGGATGTGGATTATTTCGAGGCTCTAAATTAAACTTTAACCAGTACTTTAACAGCATATCTTCTTTTTATTTCTTTCATAAATTAATGGTACTTTACATTAAAGGGCGGAGAAGCTAGACCTGGTAAAAGTGCTTTAAAAACGCATAGCCACAACAGATTGTCATCTTTTGAGCAGCACTTGTTCTGCTTAGCTATCTACCTGTCTGTCACTGTCTGCCTGTTAGTTCAGCTGTGTCTGCAGTCAGTCTCAGTGCTGTGGGGGAAGGGCGCGCGCGCGATCAGTCTCAGTGCTGTGGGGGAAGGGCGGCTGATCACAGTGTGAGCAGATCTCAGTCAGACTGACAGTCACAGGCAGGGTTAGGGTTAGGGTTAGTGGAGATCCAATGGCTTTTCAAATCAAAGAAAGAACAAAATAATTCTGTAAACAAACATTTAAACGTGTCAGCTTGATTCATGATTCTTTTAAACAATTTGTTTTCTTTTGTATGACTACATGTAACTGCTCTGTCTGTCTATCTATCTATCTATCTATCTATCTATCTATCTATCTATCTATCTATCTATCTATCTATCTATCTATTTCTTTTGTATGACTACATGTAACTGCTCTGTCTATCTATCTATCTATCTATCTATTTCTTTTGTATGACTACATGTAACTGCTCTGTCTATCTATCTATCTATCTATATCTATAGAGAGATAGATAGATAGAGAGAGAGAGAGAGAGAGAGAGAGAGAGAGATACAGAGCAGTTACATAGTCATACAAAAGAAAAAAAAGTGTTTAAAAGAATCAAGCTGACACGTTTAAATGTTTGTTTACAGAATTATTTTGTTCTTTCTCTGATGTTCATTGATATATAATGTACTAAGGATTTTGAGCAAGTTACAGGCTTTTGATGGTAATCTATTGTGTTCTGCTGTTTGTACGAAATGCGCTTTCCTTATTTGCAAATCTTAAGAATGATTCAAGAAATGTACTAAAGCGACTGATAAGAACTGTTTATAGAGGAGAGCAGTTACAGCAAACATCTCTCTCTCTCTCTCTATATATATATATATATATATATAGAGAGAGAGAGAGAGAGACAGAGCAGTTACATATAGTCATATAAGAAAAAAAAGTGTTTAAAAGAATCATGAATCAAGCTAACATGTTTAAATGTTTGTTTTCAGAATTATTTTGTTCTTTCTTTGATTTTAAAAGCCATTGGATCTGCACTAACCCTAGCCCTAACCCTAACCCTAGCCCTAACCCTAGCTCTGCCTTTGACTGTGCCTTGTGTCACAAACAAGAATGTCAAAATGCTTAGTCATGTTGTCAATATAACTGTATCAGTACTTTTAGAAGTAAACAATGGCTACGATTTTGATGACAATGATTGAAAATACAAAAGACTGCACTTTATCTGTATGACACATATGCATGCGCAGAAGAGTACTCAACGGTCAACAACGTCACTTGTTTGCGGAAGTAGCTAAACATGAATGTCAACAGTGGAGCTCGTTTAGCAATATTAAAGTTATTTGTGTGGATGCGGAGTCGCAGCCAGGAGTGGTGGGATACTGATGTGAGTGGCTTCACTAATACAGAATTCATCAGTAACTTCCGAATGACCAGATCCACCTTCGATTATGTTTGAGCACCTTCGATTAACTCTGTCACGGGAAGAGACACGTCTGCGGCGGACCAAACAGTGCAACGCGTTGGAGTGTAGTGGCTAGCTACAGGTGCGTGCTATCGTACGATAGCTAACTTGTTTATCTTCTCATTCCCGCCTACTTCAACGCAGAATTATGACGTTTGTCGCATATCAATGGCGTGCGGGTCGGATACATGTGACTTGGCCGTTCAGATTGAGGTCGCATTTGAAAAGATCGAATACAGATCGGATTTGGACCACATACCCAAGTGGCCTGGGTCGCATTTGAAAAGATCGGATCTGTGTCGTTCAGACTGTCATGAAAAGATCAGATACAGGTCGCATAGAGGCAAAAAAAATCGGAATTGGGTCGTTTTAGCCTGCAGTGTGAACGTAGCCATAAACACACATGGCCCATTACTCTAGTTGAGACTGGACTCACATATATACTGTTGGTCTGTTAAAAAATTACAGTACAATGTCATTGCAATAAAGAAAAAGACTATTACACACATATGTACGTGTGTGTGTGTGTGTTACATTATGTCTCTATCACGTATATTTACTGTATAATGAACTTATGGTGAACAGTAGCCTAGTGAACACTGTCTGATCACACACCTGTTCTGTCTACAAACGCTTGAATGATTGAGGACACACACGTTTGTTCTCATGGCTCACCTTTCAACCCGCCTCGGCCATGAGGTCATGACTGAACATGATCTACATAGTGGCCCTTATTTCTTCAGAAACCTACATTCTTGGCCTGTTCTATCTCTTCCTCTGTTTTACCTCTGTATCACCACACATGCTTACTCCTCTTCTCCTCCTCGGCTGTTCACCCTGTTGTTCTTCCGTTCTCAGAGTGTGTATGTGTTGTGCTCTGTCTATATGCCAGAGGAAGATCATGAGATGCACTCTGAGCGATTATAGAGAACTGGTGATCATTGATTGATCTAATGCTTTACATTCCCCTTCATTAGTGAAATTCAGAATTCACATCTGCAATTCAACAATTCAGGACAAAAAAAGTCTAATAGAATTGTATAGAAAATATGTTTGACAGTTTATGACAACTAGTTCAACCATTCTGCATTTAATGACTTATGGAACTAATGCCTATATGTTTTGAGGGGTCTATTGCCTATATGTTTTGAGACTATTCAACAGAGAACCAGTATAATACATTTTGATAAACATGACATAAGCAATTAATAATGTAAGAAACAGCAGACACTTGTATATAAATTGCATGAATGTACCAAAGCATTTGCAATTTGTTCAAAAGAATGATAAACTGCTTTTATGATGTGCATTTTATTTATATTTAAATAGAAATACTTATGTTTAACAGGTTATTCAAATGTTTCTGTTGATTAAACAGTGACTAGATGATGATGTCTAAAACAAGAATTTTAGTTGTGATCTGGGAAATGCACCAAAGCGACTGAAAAAAACTTCAATATAATTATTATAATAATATAATATATAATTAGAATGTTGTAACTGCTTTCCTCTATATAATATAATATAAAGAGAATGTTGCATGTAAGTGCTCTCCTAGATATATAATATAAAATAATATATAAAATAATACAATATAATATATAATATAAAGATAATGTTTGCTGTAACTGCTCTCCTAGATATATAATATAAAATAATACAATACAATATATAATATAATACAATTTAAAGAGAATGTTTGCTGTAACTGCTCTCCTCTATATAATATAATATAATATAATATAATATAATATAATATAATATAATATAATATAATATAATATAATATAATATTAAGAGAAATGTTTGCTTGTTTGCTTTAAGTGAATGTGTTGCTGTGGTAACGGACTCCCGCTTGTGCGGTGGGTGGGGGCGGGGCGGCGCCCGCTCACTGATATATGAGAGGGAACGGCAGAACGCAAAGTAGGAGAAAACACTTTTTAAAAAAAGATTACTCATAAAAGCAAGCGATTAAGCATGTTTTCACATCTTTTTGTGGCTTGTCTGTTTTTATTAAACAAACTCGGATGAATAAATCATCACACCCATATTGACAGATTTAATCAGTTGTTCCTCTGCTTTTGGAAGGAAATATGTAACGTACTTTTTAAATTCACATGACGTAATGTGTCTGTCCCTTCCCCGCTTCAAACTCGTTCCTACATGATTAATAAACTCCTATGTAAGTTACTGTACGTGCTGTATAGTCTCGGTGACGCGCAGCAGCGCGATCTTCACACACACACAGAGCAGACTCTGATGCGAGAGCAAAACTGCGAGGATTAAAGTTGAAACACATGCTCATATACATCATGAGAGCTCCTGCTGCTCAGGGCAAATTAGTAATTTTTTATTTAAATAATAATTATTGGCAATTTATCTATAATTGAATGTGGATTATCTGTTTATTTATTTATAATAATGATTTTTTTTTGCCTCCGCCATCTTTGTTGATGACGTAATGGCCTCTGATTGGTCAGATCATCAAGTCCCGCTCTCATAGTGGCTTCCTGCGCTCTGATTGGTCAGAATCCCCGAAGTGTGTATCTTTTCCGGAAGTGCAGTACTCCTAGAGGGCGCTGTGTTATACACACTTTAGTGGGGGGGCATACACACTTCACATACACAAATCACTTAAAAGTGATTTTTTGGGACAAGTGAGATTTTAAGTCTGGACACCATTTTAGAGTATGCTGAATGCCATTATATAGTCAAACAAATGAGGACATACAAAATGTCCTCAATTTTTGAGGTGGTCCTCAGTTTACTGGTGTGTATCCTGGTGAATGTACCCAAAAGGGACATAAACAAACACACACACACACACACAC